GTCTGTAGGGTTGACTGGCTGCAGGAGTTTTATCGCTCAGAGTTCCCTACACTAAAGAAGTTGTAGGTCTAGAATATTCACACATACATATGGGACAAACATATATTATATCAACAAATGGTTCAAATATATGTAAATGAATGGTACGGATAAATACTATTGGGATTTGGAGAAGTTAGAGCTCAGCTCAGTACAGGGAAGAATGCTGCATTTGGAGTCAGAGGACTTGAATTCAAACCCTACCTTGATTTGTGTAGCTTTGGGCAAGTCACTTAACCTCTCCCCACCTCAGGTTCCTCTTCTCAGATGAGGAAATTAGACTAGATAACCTCTAAAACCCTTTTCAGCTCCAAACTAGGACTCCATGTTCTTTGAGCATGGGCTGGGTTCTTCAAGGAGCAGTTGGAGATTGAATTGAGCCTTGAAGGTATTTTCTGTCAGATTTGGAGAAGAAGAAGCAGCCAACCAAAGATGGTTGCAATGAAAAACAAACAAACAAACAAAAAACTCACAAGCAATTAAATGTAACTCCCACTTCAAACTGAATGCTATTTTATTACTTATTCTCCAGGGTTATACATTTTAAAAATCTAGTATTTGTCCCTGAGAGATTAGTTATGCTTTGACTCTTCATGGGAACAGACTGGACACATCATCCTTGAGAGTTGTTCTCTTTTTATCACTTCTGGTTTTAAATTTTATGGTTCATAGCACACTCTGTTCTGTCCTATAATTGATTTTTCTCATTTGCTTTTTTTCTTTCTTTTGCCAACCCACATTTATAGAAACTCTTTGCTTCTTTTCCCTCCATTTTTTCCCTACTGCTAGATATGCAGCACGCTTCCTGGATGCTATATATCTCTCTACACAGGTGACCAATAAAGGCTACAGAGCCTCTATTCACTCCCATCCCAAAGACAAAGACCCAGAGCAGTTATTGGTCCAAGGTCACTTGCCTGTAACTCTTCCTTCTCTTTCAGGGAAGAAGACTGTGTCTCTTATCTGTTAAGAAAACCTCCTACTCCATGACTCTGATTTTTTAAAAAATCGCTCATAATTCAGGATTTAGTGTCTGGACCAGAAATAAAGCTTCCATGGGAAAAGAATATCTGGAATTAGGAGAAGGGTAGAAGGGTAAAAGAGAATAGTAGCCAAATAGCAGATACTGAATATATGTTTCTTTCTTGGTTTATAGCAGTTTTAATAGGGTTGTAGGTTGTAGAAGGCCATGAATCTTGCCATAGGGCCTCGAGTGTATGAAGAATCAGTGCTATTGCTTTCGCTAGCTTTTGCTGTGGGTGGGCTAGTGTTCCAACCTGATTTGACCTATTCAAATAAAGTAAACTTAAGCCTTTTTTCTCTCTCAGTACTTAAAAATGATGTCCATCTCAGGTGTTGATGTGCCTTCTCTTATTTTGCAAGACAAAGAAGGCTCACCTCCAATTGAGATCGTAGATGTGGCTAAGTTTCTTTTATAAAACCAATATTAGAAGCCCTTGGGTTCCAGTATCCTGGGAGGAAAGGTATTGATTTAAACCATAAGTATTTCTCTAAAAAATATCACCTAGATAAAAATGCAATTTTTACTAAGTCCCAACAGGACCTGAAAAACTTCCTTCTCCTATGCTCCTAGGACACATCAATATTTGGTCTTCTCAGGGTGATAATTTGCATAGCCAATGAGAGTAGGGGAAGTAATAGGTATAGTGATGGATAGCATTAGGCAGACTAATTCAGGAAAACTTGTTTTTTCCAAATGCAAGGCATTTAAAAGAAACTATCCACAAGGTCTTATGAACAGAGATATACATTGCATTGCTTTTACCTCCTTCCACGTACGTTTAGTACGTCAAAAGAATGACCACCCTGATTTTCTCCCCTGAAATGAAGAACAAGCCAAAGTCAAAGAGAGAGTGACAGTGTCAGGAGCATCTGGGATGCATAACTTAAGACATATATCTTGTTTTTACCATTCAAAGCAGATGAAGAGCTGTATGAAGATTGGCTAGGAATCAGGACAGTTATAATAAGGATTGTTAGGAACAAATATTTTCTGTTATCCAAAGCTCGGATGAGTTACAGAGACCAGAAAGAAACCCATCAAAGACTCTTGAGTCCTACCAATGATTGTGCATCTACTTCCACCGGGTGATGGAATTGGAAAACCTCTGAATACATTGTACTAGAGATCGGTGACCTATTTCTGTGTCAGGCTTGTGCAGCTTTTCTTGCACTTGAATTCTTTAAACCAAGGATAGGCTAACTACCCAGCTATATCCTTCCGCAGTCACACCTGGCCTACTGTCTGTTTTCTGTATGGCCCTAAGAATGGCTTTATATTTTCAAGTACAATAAAACTTTATTTACAAGTGTAAAAACCATTCTTAGCTTGAGAGCTGTTCAAAAACTGGGAGTGGGCCCTATCTGACCAGCATACCAGTTTGCTGACCCTTGCTCTAGGCAGCAGGGCCATACACCAGCTGTCTTAGTAGCCTCTAGCTCTCTATTTTATGGACAAGGCTTAGAGGTCACTTTGGGTTTTCAAAGTACACAAGGACTGGCAGGTCCTAACAGCTAAATCATCTTCAAGCAAAGGCCTGACAATAGCTTATGTGTCTATAACTGAAGGACCAGGCTAGCTGAGTTTATCAGCAGAAGGACAGATGTCAACTGATGGTGGGGGCTTTGGGCCCCCCATTTACTCAAGTGAGGAGTAGTTATGATCTCTGTCAGTGTCTGGAGCAATCTCACCAGTGAAATCACAAATCTTTTAAAGAATCAGCTTTTTACAAGTCAACGAACAAGCCCACCAGTATCCAAAGAGAAATCTAAACTCCATCTGACCTAGATTCCTCTGAATCAAAAGTCTATGAGTCTGGAATCCATCCAGACAAAAGAAGGGGATCTTCAGGAGATATACAAAAAAGTTGAAATGCCTTTCTTTTTCATAGCCCTGTCAAGTATCTGATCACAAGACACCATTCACATGAAAAAAAAATGTTCTAAATTCTAAAAAAATGTTGCTCAGAGAAATACAAATTAAAACAACTGTGAGCTACTACCTCACACCTATTGGCTGATATGACAGCTAGGTGGATAGAGGGCTGGGCCTGGAGTCAGGAAGACTCCTCTTCCTGAGTTCAAATCTGGCCTCAGATGCTAACCCTGGGCAAATCACTCAACTTGTTTGCCTCAGTTTCCTTATCTGTGAAATGCACTGGAGAAGGAAATGGCAAACCACTCGAGTATCTTTGCTAAGAAAACCCCAAATGGGGTCACAAAGAGTTAGACATGACTGAAAAATGACTAAACAATAAATATGACAGAAAAGGAAATGGAGGGTATGTGGGAAAAATAGGGACACTAATGCACTGTTGGTGGAGTTGTGAACTGATCCAACCTTTCTGGAGAGCAATTTGCAACTATATCCAAAAGGCTATGAAACTGTGCATACCCTTTGACCCAGTAATATTACTACCAGTTATATACCCCCAAAGAGATAAAAGGAAAAGGACCTATGTGTACAAAAATATTTATAGCAGCCCTTTTGTGGTGACAAAGAATTGGAAATTGAGGGGATGCCCATCAATTGGGAAATGTCTGAACAGGTTGTGATATATGATTGTGATGAAATATTATTGTGTTATAAGAAATGACCAGCAGGAAAAAAAGAAAGAAATGACCAGCAGGATACTTTCAGAAAAATCTGGGAAGATTTATATGAACTGATACAAAGTGAAAGGAGTAGAACCAGGAGAACATTGTACACAGTAACAGCAATATTGTATAATGATCAACTGTGAGTGACTTAGCCATTCTTAGGAATACAATGATACAAGACAATTCTGAAGGACTTATGATGAAGAATGCTATCCATCTCCAGAGGAAAAAACTGATGGAGTTTGAATGCAGATTGAAGAATCCTTTTTAAAATTTCTTAATTATTCTTGGTTTTTTTGGTTCACATTTTCTTTTGTAACATGACTAATATAGAAATTTTTTGCATGACTACACATGTATAATCTATATCAAATTGCTTGTTTTCTCAAGGAGAGTGGGAGGGGGCAGAAAAAGAGAATATTGAACTCAAAAAATTTTTTAAATGAATGTTAAAATTTTTTGTTTACATGCAATTGAGGAAAAAATAAAAATTAAATGTACAGGCACTAATAAGTAGTTTTGCAAATGTGTTCTGTGATAAACCTTACAGAAAAAAGATGCAAAAAAAAAAAGAAAGAAAAAGAATTTCTTACCTGGCTATAGGAACTGGAATTAGTAGTTTCTTTTCAGGGACTGGGCGGGAAGATCACTTTCTTTGGATGACAACTAATTAAAATAGATGCATATCCAAGAAGTGGGAGGGTTAGGGTATGGAGAAGGAAGGGTTGTTTCATCAAAGGCATGTCAGATTTAAAAACTGGACAGATTTTCAAACAAACCTAGAGACTATTTCTTATAGGCAATTCAGCATGCTAAGTATATTCCAAGCATAACTGCTCTGTAACCCACACTCAATCAATTTGTAAGTTAGTAAACTGTATTTTAAACCTCTGCAATAATAGAAAGAAAAAGAAAACAGGTTTTTACTGGCTTTTCAAGGCAGACGAAAAGAGTTGATTTTGATGTTTAAGTTAAGCATCCTAAAATTTTCATGCAACAGATAATTCTGATGAATAAGAGATTGATGAAAACAGGGCCAGAGAATTTCTAAACATATATAAAAATATACTTCTACCCAATGTCAGCCAAAATTACAAGTTATTGAACAGTATAGATTATTAAAAGTTTGATATAGAAGATAGCATGTAATACAATCAATGAATTCAGTTCAAAAGCAAGAATCAAGTCCTTTGATAGTATCTGCATAAGAATGAATTGGCACAAGCCCACCTCCTGGTCACTTTCCTGAATGAATGCCAATAGAAAATATGAATGAGTGATTCTGTTTAGACTCACTTTCTGCTGTTTTATTAATCTTTTCTTTTTTGTTTCTATGCCAGCTCATTCTTGCCTCTTGGGAAGGAGGCTACAACTTACAGTGCCAGAATCTTGTCAGTGCAGGAGAAGCGGATATCCGGGTGAGCCTCAAGTAGAAAACAGACAGCTTTACATAGGTCTCTCTGTGAGACAGAGAGGCCTTTCTCCTTGGGTTTACCCACTGTGGTGGAGTTGGGTGGGAGGGAGATTCCTGTCTTTGGTGAGAGTAGAATATCATTTTTGAGATTTCTCATAGTTGCTGGAATGAAAAGCAGTAAGTATTGCTTTTGGATCAGCTGCTTTTGGAAGCATAGTGAAGTCAAGAATGGGGATGGTGGTATCATCTCACTGATTATAGAAATATTAATGTTAATTTTATCTAGTCAGCCAGAAATGTTAGTCAAACAGAAATGTTTAATGTTAATTTTATCTAGTCCAGGGGTGGGGAACCTGTGACCTTGAGGCCACATGTGGCCCTCCAGGTCCTCAGGTGTGGCCTTTTGACTGAATCCAAGTCCCAAAGATTTGTTCTGTGAAGTTTGGATTCAGTCAAAGGGCACACTTGAAGACCTCGAGGCCATATGTGGCCTTGTCAAGGCCACAGGTTCCCCATCCCTCATCTATTTACTATTAGGCATTTCTACATTTAAATATCTTGGCAGATGAGAATTTGTACTTTTTTAAAAAGGTTGGAGATTTATAATTTGTCCTGGCAACCCAGCTCAGTGTCTGTCTTTATCTCTATCTCCGTCTCTCAGTCTCTCTCACATCAGACCTGTGATTTCATTGAGAACTTCCAGTGTGAAGACACCTTCTAGCAGCAAGTGCAGTTCTGTACCTACTCTGAGAGTTACCTAGAGCAGTGGTGTAAAACTCAAATAGAAAAAGGTCCCTGCAGGCACAGAACGACTTCGAAAACCACAAATTAACATTATGTATGTTGTATTATCTTCTTATTTATTTTGTTAAATATTTCCCAACATTTTAATCTGGTTCTGTCCCTGGCTTAGGGTAGCTAACATAGCCAGCATGTATCAGAGGCAAGATTTTCACCTAGTTCTTTTTGAGGGGGAGGCTATCTTATCTATCCCTATCCACTAGCCCCATGCTACCTCTCTTAATATTTCTTACTGTCAGTAAATTTTTTCTTTGTAACTAACCTTAATTGATGCATATTTCCATTTCCATTCCCACAAGACACACTGAACAATTGTTTTCTTTCCTCTGTATGAGAATCCTTCATACATTTGAATACTATTATTAAATTACCCTCTCACCTTTCTCAGCCTTTCCTAATGTTTTGATCTTCATGATTGTTTTCAAAGTCCCTTCTCAGTTCTCTCTCCTGCCAGCTGTCGATCTTACTCTCTGCTAAGTAGAAGAGGAAAACTACCTCATGGTTTCTAACATTATACACTCCTTTTGGGGAGCATCCAGTAACAATCTTTGAAGTGACAGTAGTCTAACATGGACTCAGGGTCACCATTTATCTACTGAGACTAGCTTTTTTTATGCCTTTTGTTTTTCCTTCCTAGGTGTGCTTTCTTTGTTTTGTTTAGATCAGGGCAGTTGAATTCCACAATTAGTAAGCACCTCCTGTGTGCTAAACAATGTGCTGGGAAACTGGGGCAGCTAGGTGGCGCAGTGGATAGAGCTCTGGCCTTGGAGTCAGGAGGACCTGAGTTCAAATCCGGTCTCAGACACACAATACATGACACTTACTAGCTGTGTGACCCTGGGCAAGTCACTAACAAATTGCCTAACAAAAAAAAATGCATTAAAACAATGTGCTGGGTGCCAGGGAAAACTAGTTTTCTAACCTTTCAAGATTGCTTTGCTTTGAATTCTGACCCTGATTTTAAAACTTGGTCCTAACCAGGCCCATCTCCTCAGTCTGGCAACATCAACTACCTTAACTGATTTATTCTTTACTCCATTATTCAGGTAACTGGCAAAAATGATCAATATAAGCCCCATGCTAGTCTCAGTTCAGGGCTATACTGAAGCCAGCTCTAATAAAGTCTATGGAGACAAATGTTAAATTTTCAATGTGAGTATTTACTCCTAGGAAATCTGCAAAGACATAAATCAGGGCTTCACTTATTGTTTTGCTTATTGTCTAGGCTAGATAAAGTGGTGGGAAAATGTTAATAATACAAATTCCACTTAAAAATGTGTTTGTACATTTTTTCTCTAGAGAGCTCATTGTTATACACTTACCAGCACAGCAATAAAGTTGTTGCAATATATGTACTATATAAGGTTTAACCAAATTTTGAGAAAAGTATGAATAACATCTAAGACACTTGAGGGAAAATTAATTTCAAATACAGATGACCTTATGCAAAAAGTTCTGGAGTCTGCATCAAGAAACCTCAGTTCAAATCTAAGAGATTAGTAGTATGACCATAGACAAGTAATTTAAGCTCATCTTAGTGTGAGATTCAATGAAGTATCCACGAGATACTTCATAGAGTCTCTGTGAATAGCATGTTTTTTAAACTAAAAAGCATTGTAAGTGTGCATTATAGTTATACCATGCTGGATGTCATGAGCATTTCACAGGACACACAGGAGAAGTAAAGTATTTCATCCCAATTATCATCTCACTGGATTCTTATTCATTCCACGTTAGGAGAGATGTGTGAGAACAATTTTCTAACAGTAAGAATTACATTCTGGAACGTACTAAGCTAACACAGGAGATCATACGATCTCTTTGTATGGAAATCCTTGTGACTAGGATAACCATTTTCAAAAAGCTTCTTGAGGCATCAGTTAAAATAGCAATATAAGATATTATAATAATTGCTGACATTTGCACAGCACTTCATGATTTATAAAGTGTTTCACATAAATTAGCTCGTTTAACCTTGGCAACAACCTTGGGTGATGGGGAATAATACTACTTGTGTGACTTTTTTACACATGAGGAAACTGAATTTTAAAGAAGTAAAGTGACTTGCCCAAGGTCACACAGTCAGGCAAAGCCAAGACCTAAGTCAGCGTTGGGGAACCTGTGGCCCTCTAGGTCCTTGGGGGCGGCCTTTTGACTGAGTCCAAGTTTTACAGAACAAATCCTTTTATTAAGGGGATTTGTTCTGTGAAGTTTAGATTCAGTCAAAGGGTGGCACTTGAGGACCTAGAGGGCCACGTGTGGCCTCGAGGCCACATCCCACACCTGACCTAAGTGCTTATCTTGTAACTCCAACCTCGACTTGAAGCCGTCCAGTCCACCCAATATTTAAACAATAAGTCACTCAGCCATATACCAACAAGTGGTCACAGAGCCTTTGCTTAAACTTAAATCTCTATTAAGAGGTAACCCACTGCCTTCCAAAATGACTCATTGCACTTTGAGATAGTTTTTGTTGCAGTCTCTACCCGTTGCTCCTCTTTCTGCCCTTTATAGCCGAGCAGAACAAGACTCATCCTTTTCCTATGTGACAGACACAGAATCATAGATTTAGAGCCAGAAGACATAGTCTAGCTATTCCCCACTGAGTCTCCTTCAAATAATATTCTCAGTTCCTTCAGTAATCCTCGTGGAATGATTTCAAGGCCCTGCAGCATTCCCCTGTATGTTCTCCAGCTTATTAATATCCCTCCTAAAATGTGGTGCCCAAAACTGAGCACAGTGCTCCAAATGGGGGTCTGACTGGCAGAGCACAGTAGAACTCTCTTTTCCCTCATTCTGGACACTAGGCCTCTCAACGTAACCTAAGATGACATTAGCAGTTTTGGCTGCCATATTTTCAGTGTTAGCTCAAATGGCAACTCCAATCTGCTGAAAGCCCAAGATCCTTTTCAGATAACCTATCATCTAGTCAAAGTGTAGAAGGCCTAGTGAAGTGTGCAGGACTCTGCCATCTTTTACGTTTCTGTGTCTCTACTATAGAAGTAATCACAGAATCTCAAAGTCGGAAGAAACCTTGGAAGTCATCTAGTCAAATCCATTCTAGAGAGGCAGCTTGGCCTAGTAGATAGAGTTGCTGGAATAAAGAAGGCCTGAGTTCAAATCCTCTTCTCCCACACATATTTATTAACTATGAGACCCCGGGCAAATCACTTAACCTCAATTTCCTCATCTGCAAAATGAGGATAATAGTAGTATGTACCTCAGGGGTTATCTATGTCAATATTACAAATTCCATGAAGCCATTGTTGAATCAGGAAGAAGCTTTATTAATGACCTGGGAAGGTCAGGCATCTCACATGGGTAAGAGCAGGCATGTGGGAGCACATGTGTTGACAAATGTATACCTTTTTATTCTCTATTCCTCATTCCAATTTCCTTGCGCTGTTTCCCCATTAACTGGGTACTATAGAGGTTACAGCCTATCTGAAGCACCTAATTTCCCCATGTGAGCCTCTGCCCCTAATTAAATCTCCCACTCCCCACAATTCTGTGACCCCAACCCTTACTTGGGAACACCCCTTTTTATGTTAACCTCAGAACTGGTTTTCAGCTGGTTAGTCTATTCACCACCAAGAGTGTTTTCTTATTGTAATGTAACTCCCTCTGTTCAACTTCCACTTAGCCCCCAGACTGCATTCCTTAAGGTTTCCACTTGGCTTTTTGTGGAAATAATAATAATAAAACTATTTCTCTGACTCCAACCTCTGATGCAGAAGCAACATCCACATATCCCACATCAGGGTTATTATAAAGATTAAATATGATCATAAACACTTTAGAAAACTTAATAGTGGTATGTAAATGTGAGCTATAATTATGCTTGAGTAGGAACCCTTTCTCCCGTATCCCTGACAAGGAGTCATCCAGATTATACTTCAAGAATACCTCTTGAGACATCCCATTCTTTTAGATTCGTCTAACTGTTAGAAAATATTTTCCTTAAATTCAGGTGAAATTTGGGGAAGAGGCAGTGTGGAATAGTAGAGCACTAGACTTAGAATTAAAAAGTTTTGCCTCAGATATTTACTAGTTATGTGAGTTACTTAATCTTTCAGCTGGATCATCTATAACATGAGGAAAGCTAGATTCAATGACCTCTAAGGGCCTTTCAAGCTCTAAATCTACAATCCCATGATCTACCTCCCTGTAACTTCCATGCTTTGGCCGTACCTAGTTCTGCCCACTCAGGAGACATACATGATTTCTAATCACTCATACACACAACAATCCATTAAATACTTGAAGGTAGCTCTAATGTCATCTACTAATCTCTGCTTAGCCTAGCTAAAATCCCCAGTTCTTTCAATCTATTTTTAGATGGTGTGTCTTTTAGTCTCCTCATATTCTTGGTGGCCCTCTTCTGGTCACACTCCACTTAATCAATGTTCTTCCTGAAAAGTTTGGTACAGAATACTGGACTAGAACCTCTCTCATTCTGGACACTATGTTTCTATTAAAATAGTACTATTGACTGATTATGAGTATTATTAATATCCCTCCTAAAATGTGGTGCCCAAAACTGAGCACAGTGCTCCAAATGGGGGTCTGACTGGCAGAGCACAGTAGAACTCTCTCTTCCCTTGTTCTGGACACTAGGCCTCTCAACATAGCCTAAGATGACATTAGCAGTTTTGGCTGCCATATTTTCAGTGTTAGCTCAAATGACAATTCCAATCTGCTGAAAGCCCAAGATCTTTTTCAGATGAACTATCATCTAGTCAAAGTGTAGAAGGCCTAGTGAAGTGTGGAGAACTCTGCCATCTTTTACATTTCTGGGTCTCTACTATAGAAGTAATCACAGAATCTCTTATCACTTTCAGGACACTGAAATCCTCAGATCTTTTTCACTATTCAATCTCTCTTCCCCAGTTAATATTCTTATAAACTCAAATGTCAGACTTCTATCTGTGTGTGTGTTAAACTTTATCTTAATAGATTTGTGCTATCATTACAGTGTTTAGCACAGTGCCTAGCACATTATATGTGGTTAATAAATGCTAGCTGACTGTTGAAATCTTTTTGGATTCTGATTTTCTCATCCAGGTATTTGACAGTCTCCCCAAGCTTCATGGCATCTCTAAGCCTGATCTAGGCTTACATCTAGGAAGATGTAAGCTCCTTGAGGGTAAAGACTTTACTTCTTATATTTCTGCCTCCAGCACATAGTACATCCATGTAATTGAATCTGTGCTCTCACATCTCCAATGATGCTGGTGGCCACCCACCCACGCCTGCCCCTCCTGTGTTATTCTTGTCCGTGTCTTCCCATGCGTTTGCCACAGGAGATCCACCTAACCTACTCTTTGTTTTCTCCTATCGTTACAAGGATACTAGTGGGGCTAATAATAGATAATATTTATATAATGTTTACTATGTGCCAGGCACTGTGCTAAGCACTTTACAATTATTATCTTAATCCTCAGAAACAACCCTCCAGGGTAAGTGATGTTATTATCCTCATTTTACAGATGAGGAAACTGAGGCGAAAAGAGGTTAAGTGACTGGCCCAGGGTCACACAGTTATTAAGTATCCAAGGTCATATTTGAACTCAGGCCTTACTTACCCCAGGCCCAGCTCTCTATCCACTGTACCACCTAGTTGGGCCGGGTGATGAACTGTCCATCAATTAACCTTCACTTGCTTTTGCTCATATGTTTGTTTGATGTCATCCTTTACTCCACTTCTCCTTCATGATTCCTTGTTTTTGATGTGTTACACCTATCATGGGCCTCTCTCTTATCCATTTTCAATTCTTTAGAGACCATATTATTCTATGATTTACAGCCATAGAACACTAGGAAAATGTTAATATTAGCCAGATGGACCTTTATTTTGGGGAAGTTTCCAGTTTTTTTTGTTTGTTTTTTGGTGAGGCAATTGGGGTTAAGTGACTTGCTCAGGGTAACACAGCTAGTTAAGTGTCAAGTGTATGGTCTGAGCCTGGATTTGAACTCAGGTCCTCCTGACTCCAGGGCCAGTGCTCTATCCACTGCACCACCTAGCTGCCCCCTCCCAGAAAATTACAGTTATTAAAAAAAATTACCAGAAAATTACAGTTATTAAAAAAAACTCTCAAAGGCAGCATACCCTCCTCTTCCTCTTCATCTTTGTTTCAGTAATGTCTGACTCTCCGTGACCTCATTTGGGGTTTTCTTGGCAGAAATACTGGAGTAGCTTACCATTTCCTTCTCCAGTTCAGTTTACAGATGAGGAACTGAGGCAAACAGGGTGAAATGACTTGCCCAGTGTCACACGGCTAAGTGTCTGCAGCTGGATTTGAATTTGGGAAGAAGAGTCTTCCTGATTCCAAGCCCAGTGCTCTATCCATTGTACCACCTAGCTGCCCTCTTCCTCTTCATAATAAGTGACTAATAAATGTTGTTGAATTTGTTTAATTGACTATGTCTTCTTCAATCAGTCAATCAACAAGCATTTATTAAGCATCTATTATATGTAAGGTGCTAGAGATACATATGATAGTGAGAAATACAAGTCACTGATAAAAATGAACAGAAAAAAGGTGAAATAAAGAATTTTGTAGCCCTAGAGATACCCCTCCAGGCTGAGATCAATCCATTAATCACTGATATAATTTTTCAGCTAGTTTCAAGTCCACATCTAACTGTTACATTTTTCCATTTTGCTCATGAGGATATCATGAGAAAGACTTTGTCAAATTCCTCACTGAAATCCAAGTATGTGTACCTGCTGATCTAGTTATATGTATTGAAGAATCCACCTCCTCATTTTTGAAAATCAAGACATATACCTATCTCCAGTTCTGGAACAATTCATATATACTTCTATATCACCTGAATTAATTTTCTAAGTTTGATGTAATTTATCAATTGAAAATATTTTCTCTCTCTCTTACTTCTCACACTCCCCCACCTCTTCCGCACACACACACAGAGGAAAAAAGAGAAACAAAAGACTTATAACAAATGTGCATAGTCATGCAAAACAAATTCCTCCTTTGGCTAGGTCAGAAAATGTAGGTTCCATTCTGCAATGTGAGTCCATTACCTCTCTGGTCGAAGTGGGCAGCATGTTTTATCAGTCCTTTAGATTCATAGTTGTTAACTGTATTGATTAGAATTCTTAGGTCTTTCTAAGTTGTTTGTTTTTACAATGTTTTATTTGTAAAATTCTTGTTCTGCTCACTTCATACAATTCTTTCCAGGTTTCTTTGAAATCATCTTTCTTAAACCTGGAAAGACTTACATGAACTGATGCAAAATGAGCAGAACCAGGAAAACATTATACATAGTAACAGCAATATTATATGATAATCAACTGTGAATGACTTAACTATTCTCAGCAATATAATGATCTAAGACAATTCCAAAGGACTTATGATGAAAAATGCTATCCATCTCCAGAGAAAGAACTGATGGAGTCTGAATGCAGAGCGAAGCACACTCTCTTCTTTTATTTTCTTGGAAGGTTTTTGGTCTGTGTTTTCTTTCACAACATGACTAATATGGAAATATCTTTGCATGACTATACATGTATAATCTGTATCAAATTGCTTTCTTCTAAAGGAGGGAGGAGGTGAAGAAGAGAGGGAAAATTTTGGAATTCAAAATTTTTTAAAATGAATGTAAAAATTATTTTTCCATGTAATTTGGAAAAATAAAATTCTAAATTTTGAAACAAAAGAAACCATCTTTCTTCATTTCTTATGGCACAATAGTATTCCGTTATATTCTTAAGCCACAGTTTATTCCACCATCTCCCATTTGATTGAACCCTCCTTAGTTTCTAGTTCTTTGCTGCTATGAAAAGAGTTGCTATAAATATAGTAGTCCTTTTTTCTGTTTCTTTGATATCTCCAGGTCAAAGGATATGCATAGTTTAATAACATTTGTAAATTGCTTTCTAGAATGTCTGAACCAATTCATAGCTCAACTAATACTGTATCACCCACTTTAATTATGAATTTTGTCAACATGGATTTGGGCTTCCATACAATTCTTTCAGTGTTGTCAACTCAGAAGTCTATTCAGAGGGTTTGGGGTTTTATTGGGGGGAGGGGGCTTGCAAACAGTGAAAGGAGGGGAAAGTGTAAAACTTTATGCAGAATAAGCCTAAGCCTCTTTTACATGGATGTAAATTACCTGGAAAAGATAACATGATATTCTGGTATCAATGTTTGCAGTACCTCTGGAGGCATCTCAGGTTTAAGTATGAGTCAGAAAGGGAATAACTATAGAAAAGGCATTTTCCAACCTGAGGATTACAGGGGCGTTAGGAGTGTAAAGCACTAAAGGCGCTGCATGGAGTAGTAAGGCCCAAGGAGTTCCCACTGCCACCTCATCTTGGTGAAAAGGAAGATGAAGAGGGAAAAAATGCTTCAGTTTAGCCTTCTCTTTATTTGAGGAGCTAAAGCCTATGCATATGAAACAAATAGAGAATGATTAAAGGGAAGCATGGTAAATACATGATAGGCTAGTGCAGACAGTACACACAGGTGCTCTGTTCTGGGACAAAAGTAACTTTTCTTTTTCACTTTGTAGGTAGCTAAAGTTCTGTGGTGGTACTACTTCTCCAAACTGATAGAATTCATGGACACAATTTTCTTTGTTCTGAGGAAGAAAACCAGTCAGATTACTTTTCTCCATGTGTACCATCATACTTCAATGTTTAACATCTGGTGGTGTGTTCTGAACTGGATACCATGTGGACAAAGTAAGGATTTGGTCATTCTTTTGCTTCTGGATAAATGTGACCCTGACCCTAACAGTTCAGTCTTCGGTAGTGTAGCAGCAGCATCAGACGCAATAGTAGAGGTGGAGATCTGATATCTCTTGGCCCCAAGGGCTTGATTCTGGCTTCCAGGGTGCAAGAGTGGCAAAATCAGGAATGATTTTTTTTAGCTAAAATTTTTTTAAGCTTTGGAAACCGTCAGAAGCTTTTAGACAATCCCCACACTTGCACATTCCTACTTTAGTTAGTTTAGCTAGTTAGTAGTAGTGTTAGTTAGGGTCCACTGACTACACATCAATACCCATGATCACAGATAATGATGTGGTTGACATTAGGCTATTCCATTTAGTGCTTTGCATTCTTCCTTATCCTCAAAAATGGAAGTTACTTCCATAACCTAATACTGAGGTTCAGAAACATATCCAATATTTGAAAAAGCAGAGTGGACCAAATTTATATCAGATGGTTTGACCTGAGATTTGGGACTCTGTTGATACTCTTACTTTAAATCCCAAGAACATGTAACTGGATTTCACCCATTAATGACAAAAAAAAATGCAAATTGAAACAGCATGAAACAGAAAATAAAGTCCTTTGGCATTTCTCCCAAGATTTGAATTTCCATTTCTTCAACTGCTAATAGAAGTGGGCAGGCTACTAGAGAGGCCAAAGGATAATGAACTAGCTTGGCTGTTTCATTCATCAGTGCTCACATTCCCCAGATTTAAAAATAAATATGAACAATGGCTGCACCCGCAGACTCCTGGTTCGTGTTAGTGGAGTATTTTGCAAATAACAAATTACATGCAGGGTTGAGTATCATTAGAATGATATTTAGTAGCTGCTCATTTGTCTATATTAACGAAGGGCAGAGGAACTCAGGCGAGTGAAAAATATTATTAACTAAACTCCCTTGGTTGTGCTGCCCAATGACCCAATATAAAAAATCAGTATCTGTATTTTTGTGAAACTAAAAACAGTTTCTCCAATTATATGTTCAATTAACTAATATTTTAATGAGAGGTAGTGTGGAGTAAAGGATATGTCATTGAACCAGGGTTCATCAGGAAGATCCTCCCTCGTGAAGCTAGCTTTGACCCTGGGTAAGCCACCAAATCTCCTAAATTCAGTCTCTTAATCTCTAAAATGGAGATACTAATACCTATGTTACCTACCTTGAAAGGCTGTTCTGGAGATCAAGTGAAATGTATGAAAAGCACTTGGCAAACCTTGAAGCTAGCACACATAGCAATTATTATTGTATATCTGCTTCTCTATTTACCAAATGAGTAAAAGGCCTATGGCTTTGGGAATTATTGCCCAAGATTGCTATCCACTGTTTTGAAATCCTTGGAGGAATAAAATGCAGTCATTATTATTATTTTCATGTAAACAGACAAATGGGATGAGGGGACAGGTTTTTAGCTTTTAGCTTCAACATAATAGAGGGATGAAGACACAGCAAAGAAATGCATGAATTCCAGAGTGGGAAGCAAGATCTGCCCCACCCCATCCTATCGCCATATGCTACCATGTTGTTCAAAATTATCTGTCTCTGCTTAGCAGATACTTTGACATCCCAGGGAAGTTTTGAAAGATTGGGTAATTATGTTATGGCATGGTAGCCATGCAACCACCTTCTCCAAAACATAAATGGTTGCTGCAGGTAACCTTCCTCTAAGTTTTAGTACAGGTGTGTATTCGCACATTAGACAAACTGCAGTAAGGATTTAACGTGTATATTCAAAGTTTCACTCTAAGTACACACTGGATGTGGGCATCCCTTTCATGCAGTCATCCAAATATTACCCAACAACTGAAAAACGGTATTTGATGAGCCTTTGACAATGTCAAGCAAAGGCACAAATGTTTTCATTTGTTCCTTAACTCACAGGATCTTAGGGTCATAAACCCAGAGTTGGAAGGGACCTCAAATGCCAACTAGTCCAATCCTCTCATTTCACATTCTTCTATCTGTCCATCACATATTAAGTACCTACCATATATAAGGCACTGTGGTAGGACCTAGGACAATTGTTAAGCTAAATAAGATACATCTTTGTCCTTAAGAAGTTTACAATTCGGCAGGGAAAATGAAATATGTAGGGGATAAAGAAAACTATTATTCAAAACAAATAAAAATTTATTCAAAATAAAATTATTCAAATAAGTATAGAGTTCAAAAAGGGATATTAACCAAGCACTATGAGGTTTCACAGGAGGAAATTAACCATTTTAAATAGAGGAGCACCAGGAAAGGCTTTATGGAGGCAATGGAATACAATTGAGCTTTGGATAGGTAGGACCTCAAGGCAGAGATGGAATAAAGACATCTCAGCCTATGTTATCAGCTAGGCATTGAGCATTTATTTATGGGATGGCATCTGATAACCTGTTATATATCTCCATATCCAAGTGGCAGATGCTCATACATATTTGCAGATTGGTTATGGTCAGATTAACTGCAATCCAGGAGCATGTATAACATCTTCATTAGTCTAATAAGCATAAACCAGGGACTTTTATGATAACTGCGGCCTTTCTGAAAAAAACAAAAACAAACAAAAAGCCTGCAATGCAGCCCTTCCAAAAATAAACTTGCCCTAAATATTTAGAATGATGGCACAGCCAGTGTAGATAGAGCCTTTAGAGTAATTACTACTAGACAGTGGTATCAGAATTACTTAATGATGTCTATCTACTATACACAGCAAAGAACTTTGTCTTAAACAAACAAGAGTTGTATTTTGCTCTCAGTGAACTTGATCATGGTTTCTAAAATCGTTGTTCTCATGCTGTACTTTTCACAGGTTTTTTTGGACCAACACTGAACAGTTTTATCCACATTCTAATGTACTCCTACTATGGACTTTCAGTGATTCCATCCATGCACAAGTATCTGTGGTGGAAGAAATACCTCACACAGGCACAATTGGTATGTTAACCTTTATTTCAACTTTTTTTTTCCTTTTGTAGGCCATGTGATAACATCCACATACTTTCATGGAAGGGGGAAGATACCCAAGATATTTCTATCCTGTTATCACAGATTTAATGGTTGACTTTTTAAGAACTAATCCTTGTATATTAGAGTATCTTTTGTGCATGTAGGTAGCAGAGGAGGGTGGGTTGGCTGCCACTTTGAAATAAACAAGAAGTTCCTCATTACACGAAGTTATAAAAGCTTAAAAGATTAAGGCTCAAAAGAACGATGGGAAACATCTACCATGGGCTATTCCCCTCATTTTATAGATGGGGAACATCACACCCAAAGATGTGAAGTGACTGGCAAAGTTCAAAACCTAATTACTGGCAGAACCAGGACTGGAGCCCAAATCTCCTGACTCCTGGGCCAGTATTCTTTCAATTACGTCATATTGCTTCTCCAGGAAAATTTTTAAAGTTATTTATAGGCTAAAATCTTTTTTCCTCTCTAAATTAGATAATTAGAATCTCTATTAATTCAATACAATGGGAATTGGAGGAAATCGTAGCCTTTTAGAGGGGAAGGAGACAGAACTTTGATATCATCATTTTAAGGAGCTCCCAGTTTAGAAAGGGCTCAACCAATGCAGATTGATACCTTTTTTGTAATTTATAGTCTTAGAGATTTGCCTGAGGGCCCTGAGGATTTAAGCAACTTGCCTGTGGTCAGAGGCAGGACTTAAACCTATTTTTTTTAACTTTAAAACCAGCTCTCTTTTCCCTCTGTGGTACATAAATAGACAAATGGGATAAAACAGAAGGCTATGACTCTTACAGAATCCTGAGAACATAGATTTAGAACTGGAGAGGACATTAGAAATCATCCAGTCCTACTTCCTCATCTTACATAAAAGAAAACTAAAGCCCAAAGAGGTTGCACAGGTACTTAAAGTGGCAGAGCTAGGATTTGAACCTAGGTCTTCAATTCTAAGGGCAGCTAAGTGGCCTAGTAGATAGAGTATCAGACCTGCGGTCAGAAAGACTCATCTTCCTAAATTCAAATCAGGCCTCAGACACTTAGTATCTGTGTGACCCTGGGCAAGTCCCTTAACCCTGTTTGCCTCAATTTCCTTATATGTAAAATGAGTTGGAGAAGGAAATGGCAAACCACTCCAGTATCTTTGCCAAGAAAACCCCAATGGAGTCACAAAGATTAAAAACAACTGAACAACAAACTTCAATTCTAAATCCAGAATTCTTTCTCCTATGCCACACAACCTCTGGAAACATAGTTACATAGAATGTAATTAATCATATATCATAGATTTTATATAATTGACAGTTATATACCTACAAATATTCTATCTAGGATAAAAGAATTCTGTTGAAATCATTTTGATGTTTCTTGTTATACCCAGCAAAACTTAGAGAATAAAGTTCCATGATTTCAAAGCAGATTATATGTGACTGAAAAGTTGATTCATCCCTAGCTCTGATTTTTATGTGACTCTCACAGATCCAGTTTGTGCTGACCATATCGCACACCCTGAGTGCAGTTGTGATACCTTGTGGCTTTCCTTTTGGCTGTCTCATCTTCCAGTCTTCCTACATGCTCACATTAGTCATCTTATTTTTAAATTTTTATGATCGGGTGAGTTGAAATAAGTGTTCTCAGATGAGTAAGCAATGTGTTATCTGTTTTATAGATTTCTACATCCTGACATCACATGTTTGCCTTGTACTTTCAAAGACTGAAATTTGAGAGTGATGTCTCATGTAATTGAGCCTGGTCCAGGAAATCTTATAGGCAAAAACAAATAGCTACAAAAATATGTGTTTTGTAAATGAGTTTTAAAAACAAATCTTGCTGTTATGCTACCAGCCAGAATTGTGGCCTCATTATTCACTTGGAAGAATTACTTTCAGATTACTGAGTGAGGAAAGGTCATGTTTGCCTTTTTTCTATCAAATTGTTATAAAAATGAACTATACCCAGAAAAGGAAATGGATTCAACATACAACTTCATAACAACTCTTTTGTTTAAGAACTGATTTAAAAAATGACAAAATATAGGCCTCAGGTGGATAAGATTTTAAATTAATCTATTTTTGTGGAAGTGGAACAAAAGTAAAGAACACTAAACAAAGATAAATTTGACATGCTAAATAATTTTTGAAATTGTATTTGACTGTTTTCTACTTCTATAGGGACACAGAGTTCCTTCTCATTTTCTACTTGTGTTTGCTTAAATTAATCCGTAATAGTTTTAGACAAATCATAGAGAGAGGAACTAACACTTTGATAGCTTTTCAGCCCCTTTATTAGTGAAATTGGGTAGGTAAATTTGCCTTTGAATGTAAGCTGCAAAAGCTAAGTATCCTGTGAGACTATCTAGGGATGAATGCAGATGAAAAAGGTCAAGTTGCCAAAGATGGTACTAGAGAAGGCTAAGCGAGCACTCATTTTGTTATTTCATGACCAGGAAGAAAGAGCAGACAACAATGATGGATAGAACTGAGTGCTCTAGCTCAAATTAGACCAGAGCCCTTTGTGAACAAAGTCTATGATTTCAGTCTCAACCCTAGTTGATATCCTTGACTGGCTTAAAAACAATTCCCTTGCTCAGACTTTGCAGGTGGAGTTCATGTATTTTGGCAGGGTAGTGGGGAAATGGCACAGGCCAATTCAGGTCTGGACCAGAACCTCAGATCCTCCTGCTGCAGCCTCAATAGAATTTCATTGTAAAACTGTTTGTCTTTATGTAACCAGGTATTCAGAGATGCTTGGACTGACCTCCTCAGGTCCAAAAACCTAGTTACACTTACTAGAAAGATAATTACTGCAGTGATAGTCACATTAGAGACACATAGGCTAGTATAGAATAAACGAAATAAGCAAGTTTTTTATTGAAAACTATGCAACTACTTTGACTACTACATAATTTTCATGTATAAGTAGAGTTCAGAGGATATTCTAGCTTTGAACAAAGAGAAATTCTGTGTTCCTTCGTGCATTAAACCAGCATGTATTAAGCAGTCATCATATGTTAAGCCCCTTGCTAGGTGCTGGGAAGAGAGAGACAAAAATAAAACATCCCTTGCACTTAAGAAGCTTACATTCTATTGGTGAGAAACTATAGGTACACAGATAAGTAAATACAAAACATGTACAAAGCGTATCTACAAGAAAATCTGGGTGGGAGAAGAGGGGACACTAGCAAATGGGGGGAATCAGGGTAGAAGTCTCATGCTATCGAGATGAGCCTTCAAGGAAGCTAGGGGTTCAAAAAATAGAGATGAGGAAGGGGAGAACCTCCTCTGAGAGAAGCAGTCTGTGCAAAGGCACAAAGGCAGAAGATATAAACTTGTGTGCAGGGAACAGAAATTGGGCCAATTTGACTTAGACAGTTTTGTGAATAAAAAGGAATAATGTACAATAAGCCTGTTAAGTAAAAGGTCAGCTAGAGCCATATTGTGAAGAGGTGAAAATCCAGCACTTTAAAGAGTTTTAAGTAGTGTTTGGGGGAAAAAAATACGATATAGAAAAGCTCTCACTGAAATACTTTATTTTTTTCCTTCCTTATCTGCATGTCTAAACAGACATACCGGAAAAAGCCTCTGCGACAAGATATGAAAGAGAATCTTACAGGGAAAGAAGTCACAAATGGTTTTCCCAAAGTTCATTTCACTGCAGCTAATGGAATTGGGGACAAAAAAGCACAGTGAAAATAGGAAAGAGAACAGCACACAAAGGAGCCTAAGAAATTCTTTTATTTTAAAACAAAAACTGAGTTGAAACAGTTCTTTAAGTTTTAGTGCAAACTGACATCTGTTGTTTATAAATAATTTGTACCAAAAATGTATTATTAATTAATTGCTATTAAGTTTAACATATTTACTAAATGCTTTGGTCAAAGGTTAACCACCAAGATGATGCTGGAAATTTTAGATCTCAATATTAATGTAAAAACCTCCCAAGTGCCCTCCCATCCCCATGTTTCTTTTTATGATGCCTTATACATTGTTAACCAAGTAAGCCCAAAGAACATTAAGTATTTTCATGATAAGCCTTTAAGTTAAAAAAAAAAGTTAGGGTTTTGTTCAGGTTAAAATGTTTAGACTACAATATTAGTTATCTTTTAGGCTACATATAGTAGGCACTAAACAGCCACGGATAGAGTAGTCAATCCATTGGGCTCAATATGGCATAAATCTCTAGAAATCATTTAAAAGGGAAGGTAGAATAAGGAAAGAAAGGGATAAAGCAGATTGTCTTTCTTTCTAAAGCCACAATCTACTTTGTCTCACATTCTCTAATTACTTCTTCCAAAAAGAATCTTAGTGAACTAGTGATAGAATATGCTTTTTTTTAATTTTGAAAATTAACTTTGCTAAGAGAAAACATGCACTGCCAAATCCTTATAACCATAGACACTTTGGCTAGGAATCTGACTCTTCAGAAATTCACAGACTCCTTGGTCCTTTTAAAATACCTTCTTCATATCAGGCCTCTTTGTGGGTTAAGCCTATGGTTTAGTTAAGAAGCAGGGGGACAGCCTGCTTAGTACCAAAAGTATCCTCTGATCCTGCTTGTCCACTCTTCCTATCTCTATGCAATGACTAGAGTCCAACCTTCTCCTCTTGGGTTGTATGCATCACTGACACTTGTCCTGAAATCAAGTAACTCAGCAATGGAGACAAAACAAATGGAATTTTTATGGTGCTTATTTTGGACCTAGTCAGAGACATGGCAATAGTTGCTTTATGCCACCCTTTGAAAGTTATTTACATTCTTCAGCCTAGGAAGGAAGAAGTGGGCCATAGGATGTACTGTTAACAAAGAATTCCCACGGAAAATAGTGGAATATTAATGAGACACTGACAAAGGCCAGCTGAGCAATGAAAGCTTCTCTGTGCTGGCACTGCTATATTTAATAGGGGCCAACCTTAAAAGAAGGAGAAAGCCCTAACGAGAATCCCCCTCTTTCCCTGAGGGAATCTTGAGATTTAATTTAATACTATGATACTGTCCTGAGATTAGGAATAGGAGAATGTCATCTGAATGTTTGATAGAGATTAATTTCCAGCCTGCAGAATTAGAATAGGTAGTTTTGTAACTTCATCCTTTCACCCACACTTGGGCTTACTGTAGATGTTTCTCATTTTTATATCTTTTAAAAATGCTTTTCAACTCATCCTGTTGGCATCAGTTGCCACATAAAAGCTTTTTTTTTTTTTTGGTGAGGCAATTGGGGTTAAGTGACTTGCCCAGAGTCACACAGCTACTGAGTGTTATGTGTCTGAGGCCATATTTGAACTCAGGTCCTCCTGACTCCAGGTCTGGTGCTGTATCCACTGCGCCACCTAGCTGCCCCCATAGAAAAGCATTTTAATTGGTAACTTTATACCTACTACTTGCCACCTTTTCCACCCACCCTTAAAAGCTTTTAAATTATTTTCTTATAAAAACTTATCACCCCTGATTTCTCATTCATTCACATTGCTCACTTAGGAGGCTGTGCCCACCTTCTGAGAGATCACCTAAGTACAGCATTTAATGTCAGTAAATTGTCAGTATGACTACTTGGTTTATCTTGCCACAGTTTAACATTACCTTTTGAACTTAGATCCACTCCTGTTGAGCACAACAGAGCAGATTTTGGTCCGATCTTAGCACTTTCTCACTCTAGGATTTTTTTTTTTTATTTCTGGCATATTGCTAGTAAGTCCAACCTCCTCTGAGGCTCCAAGTAGTTAACCGTTTCTTCCACCTTGCATTAGCCTATACCTTTATTCACTGGAAGTTTCTGACTTTTAATAGCTTCCCAGTGACACATTTTCAAGCCAGCATAGCATCTGCACAATGCCTTTTAAACCAAGAGCTAGAGCTGAGAGCAATTGTCATAGCTTCTCTTTGGCTAAGAATAAAAAGGATGAGGAGGATGTTCATTTGAGAAATCAGTTTCTTCTTCAGGTCTAGGTCTTAGACAAAGCTGAATCTTGTTACTTAAGTATAATTAAGGTGAAAAATGAACTTTTTTGCAGATAGCCATCAAAGAGTCCCATTCACCAGCCCTGCTCCTTCTAGTCAGATTGTTGAGTTATTAGTGAGGCACTAAAAGTCCCCACTGAGTGTCCATGGCTAAAAGAGTATTGTACTAGTCAGTCATCTTTTCATGCTGCTTAATACTGAAAAGCAAAGAGGGAAGGTCCTTTTCACCTGAATCACAGATTCAAACAGTTGTGAGCATAAGATGACTCAGGGACTGTTGGAGGCAAAGATGGAAATCTGACATTTTGGGGTAGCCTCCATAGACAAGCGTGTACTTAAGCTGGCAGCCTTGATAACAAGCAATTTAATTAATGGCTCAAGGTTAGCTCAGAACTTTGTCCAATTCTAAACTGGCCTTTGGTTTCAATGAGGCTTAATTTTAAAATATACATACATGTATATAGTTGTCATATACATATAAAATCATAAACCATTCAAGGGCTTGGAAAAAGGCACACACTCAGAGCTTTGAAATCTTAGCTATGAGAACTGAATCAGGTGTGTTCCAAATACTTCTGTCTTAAAGCATCTTTGAAATATTGCAACTTTGAGAAATAGAAACATGTTGAATTTTTTAAAATGTGATTTCTTATAAAAATATTGTAAATAAAACTTTTACATGTCTGTCTAAATCTATGTTGTTTAGAAAATAAGTGTTAGCAGAGCTTTTTGAAGAAGAAATGCTCTTTTCCCATGACAGTGGAAAAAAATTAGGTTTTAGTGAATACTTACATCTGTTGATAGTTTTCCCCATTAAAAATTAAAATGAAATGTTTGTCTAAACAGAATGGAATGTGAAATTTTTCAACTTACTTTTAAAATGCAGTGCTATCATTCATGTAATATGTACTGAAGGATAAAATTATTTTCACCTGAGTTTCATTTGTGTTTGTTTTCAAGGGAAAATGTCATTTGTGCTGATAGGTTGGAGGGAAACAAGTGGGGAAGAAGCCAGTCTGAATTCTTTCCAAAGAGTCAAAGACACTTTCCTTATGTTGTGAATGTTTCTGGGTATTTTTCGGTTGTAACCTGAATAAGGACATCATTTTCTTGTGTTCACATAAGAAGGACTTAAGTCTTAAGAATACAGGATCATGATAAGAGTGGGCAGGGAGGCAGGAGAAGCCATTTTTTCTTCATGTATTAAAAGCATTCAGTATGATTGTTGTATATTAAATTTATTTTTACCTTAAGCCATAATGTGTCATGGTTTTTCCTAAGTGCATGCTTGTTTATAGATCTAAATGACGTGTCCCTCAGAAGGATACTTATAACTAGGAAGGTTTTTAAATGCTCGGCTCTTCATTTGATTTGGTAAGCTCTTAGTTCTGGAGGACAGTGTGGAATAGTGAAAGGAGCCCTGGATTCGGAGTCAGAGGATATGAGTCAGAATCCTAGCTCTGCCATTCCCTGCCTGAGTGATCAAGGGCAAATCATTTAGCTTCTCTAGGTCTCAGTTTCCTCATCTGTAACATAAGCACTAACAGCTGGAAAGAATCAGAAAAGATGAAGTGGAAGGTAGCATTTGAGCTGAATTTTGATGGAAACAGGAATCCTAAGTCCTAATTTTATATAGAGAGCATGGTGTATTTGATTGGGCGTTGACCTTCCAGCCAGAAACATCAGGGTTTAAATTCTAAGTTTAACATTTGCTAACTATGATTCTAGGCAAGACACAACTTCTTCATGCCCCAGGCCTGGAGGTCTCTTAGTAATAGGTGAGTTATGGATATGTATCAGTGGAAGGAGTTTTCCACATGGATTAAATCACAGGTTTGAAAAGAAAAAAAATTAATATACCATTTTAACACACTTTCCTCATTTGCCGTACTTGATACGTCCAAACAGTATCTTGTTTTTTACTCTACCCATTCAGTTATAATGGCAATAAAAGGCCCTGTTCCAAGAATTCCATATCTCTTTTCTTAGCCAGTCAATAAATGCTAACTGCCTACTAGCACTGTGCTAAGCCCCAGAGATAACAAAGAAGAGCAAAAGACAGTCCTAGCTCTCAAGCAGCTCAGTCTAATGGGGATGACAACATGCAGACAACTATATACAGGATAAATTGGAAATAATCAACAGAGGGATTATTAGAATTATTATAGAATTAAGGGATCAGAAAAGGCTTCCTATAAAAGGAGGGATTTTAGGTAGGACTTAAAGGAAGCTAGGAAAGCCAGGAGATGGAGATGAGGGGAGACAACATTCCAGGCATGGGGGACAGCCAATGAAAATGCCCGGAGTTGGAGTGTCATGTTTGAGAAATAGCAAGGAGGCCAGTATCACTGGATCACAGATTAAGGGAGTGGAGGCGAGTATAAGGTGTAAGAAGACCAGAAAGGATGGGGGAGGGGAGAGAAGAGAGTGGTCAAGAAGGGCTTTGAACACCAAACAGAGGCTTTTATATTTGACCCTAGAGGTGGTAGGGAGCCCCTGGAGTTTAAGTGGGGGGGGTGGGTTTTTTTCTGATATGGACAGATTTGCACTTTAGGACGATTACATCAGCTGACTGGAGGATGAATTGAAATGGGGAGAGATGAGGCAGGGAAAGCAACTAGCAGGCTATTGCAATAGTCTAGGCATGAGGGGCTGAAGACGCACACCAGAATGGCTTCCCTGATATCTTTCAAATTCCAGCCAAAATCTAACTTTTTATAGAAAGTCTTTCCCA